TCCAATGCTATAATATCCTTTTTGAGGTCTGGTGACCAGAACTGCACACAGTACTCCAAATGAGGTTGCACCATCGATTTATATAGGGGCATTATGATACTGGCTGACTGGTTTTCAATTCCTTTCCTAATAATCCCCAGCATAGCATTGGCCTCTTTTATTGCAATCGCACACTTTTTGTCTCCACATTTTCAGTGACTTATTCACTAGGACTCCCTCTCTTGGTCAGTCTCCGCCAGTTCAGACCCCATCGATGTGTATTTATAGATTGGATTTTTGGCTCCAGTGTGCATCACGTTGCACTTGGCCACACTGAACCCCATTTGCCACGCTGACGCCCACTCCCCCATCTTGGGCAGATCCCTTTGGAGTGCCTCACAATCCTCCCTGCTTTTCACCCCCCTGAACAACTTCGCGTCATCTGCAGATTTAGCTACTTCACTGCTTACTCCCCACTCCAAATAATTAATGAACAAGTTAACGGATAGAGGAGCTGGTTAAGTCACCCGTCTCCTCCCGCAGCCCAGCGTGTCTGGTCTCCAATGCGGAACGTCAGCGGCTGTGTCCTCCTCGGCCCCTGGGAGCCTCCCTCTTTTAGGAAGCACCTCTCCCGCCCCCCCTTTCTACCCCCACCCACGTCCTACAGGGTGGGAGGGGCTTCCTTCCTGCCCTCTGTGCCCCCTAGGGCCTTGGAAGCCCCCAGAGCCAAGCCCCTGAGACCTCTCTTCTTCCCTCCCTCCGGGGTACTCTATTCCCAGCAAGGAGGGAGGGGGTGTTCATTCCATTCCTGGGGTTGCTAGATGCCCCCACACACAGCCCCAGACCCCAGTGAGGCCTCCTGTCTGGGCCCACTCTGCCCGCCTGGGCACCAAACAGCTGTGGCGACAGTGGGGAGCCCATCGGTGGTGGCGGCGGGATCAGTGGTGGCCCCACCCAGGGTGGGTTGAGGTGAGGTTTCCTGGCTGCCTCTCCGCTCAGTGCCAGCCCAACAACCTCGCAACCAGCACGGGGGCAGCGTGAGCTTACCCCGGCCGAGTCTAGGACTGCGGCCGGCCTTGGAGAAGCATCGTCCTCTGGTGGTTCCGGTCCAATCTGGCTGATAGGTCCCAGAAATGGGGCTAGCAGACCCCTGCATGACATGTGCCACAGGGTCCCGGGGGGGCCCCTTCCGCTTGTCCCCCACACTTGGGATTCAGGAACGTTTTGGGGGATTTTGTGAGTCTCAGAGGTACCTCTGCAGGAGTCTCTGTTCTGGCCTCGAATGTAAGGCTCCTTGAGGCATTCGGCAGGATCTGTGTCCAGTGGTATGAGCACAAAGAAGAAGAGATTGGGTTTATACCCCGCCTTTCACGCGGTGTCTCAGAACGGCTTACACTCTCCTTTCCCCACAAGACACCCTGTGAGGTGGGCGGGGCTGAGAGAGCTTTCTTGAGGACTGGTCTTGAGACAACAGCTTTGAGAAAGCTGTGGCTTGCCCAAGGTTAACCAGCAGCTGCATGTGGAGCAGTGGGGAAACAAACCCGGTTCTCCCAGTGCTATGTATTGAGCCTAAGCCTTTCCTCCAGCTGTGCCTAGAATGGGCTACGCTTGCTTCTACAGATCAATAGCTGGCCTGGATCCAGGAAGTAACCTATAGATAGGCAGCGTCATGTAAATAGCCTATCTCTGGGAGTGGGTGTGTGTCTTGGGTGTGGTGTTTTGCATGCTTATCAGCAGGGCTCCAGCTCTGCTAGAGTTGTCTTGTAGTTTGCCGAAATCACTGAATAAACTAGAGCTGATCACTGCAATGCGTCTAGAACCCAGTATTTAATACCCAGATTAAAGTCTGCGCTCCTAACCACTACACCAAGCTGCCTGTCTTGAGAAGCGTGCCTTCCTGCCAGCCCCACTTGTTGCGTGCTGCATCTTTAAGGGGCTCACCCAGATGACCTCAGCGCACGGAAGACGCAGGGCGTAATGGACAAAGAGGAGCTTTAGTCAAGTACTGGCATGTTCCTCTGTGCTCAAGCCACCCGATCTCCCCTGAGGTTCAGTGTTAACGGAGATGCCATTAAGCTAAGGGAACGGGGTGTTTTTGTTGCTCCACTATACAGTGTTTGGCAACAAAGGCTATCCACCCACTGCTAAAACACCCAGAAGCTTCCAGAAGAAACGGATCCCAGAGCAGCTCTTTCCTTTCTGAATAACTGCTGGGTGAGTCCCTACAGAAATGGCTGCCCTGGTCCATAGAGGAGAGTTCAGTGTGGGGACGCTCCTGTACGGAGGGAGGACTCGTTAAATCCGAGACCACCACCACCCCCTTTCAGATCACCCTCTGGCCAGGACTTGAGGCCTCCTGCTGTGACGCCATGTCCCACTCCCGGAGAGGCAAAAGAGGGACTGCAGCCCTTGATTCTTACTAGGAACAGGGAATCTTGGTTCCTGGCGGGTCTGTTTGCAGTGCTCCTGTGTTGCCAGCCCAGAAACCAAGGAGGGGTCATAATGGAGAAGTGTTAAGGAGATTCATTCAGGACCTGCACCCCATCAATATATTACTGTTGCTGTACACCTCTAAAGCTCAGAAGGTTGTGCGAAAGCACCATCTAGTAGTCATGTCATGGGTCAACCAAATATGAGACTGTTGTGCTGACTTCCACATTTTAGGAAGGATGTTGACAAGCTCGAGAGTCTCCAGAAGAGGGCAACCAGGATGGTGAGAGGGTTGGAATCCAAGTCTTACATGACTGTACACTCGTGGTTCAAGAGGTTTTTCAACCAGCCCCTTAGAGCTTAAAGACGTTCCACTGGAAAATCAAGAGTATATTTCTTTTGTGGATGAGTCTAGCTAGAGGGTGAAAGGCAAAAGATCTGTAGGAACATGGGGCTCAAGTGGCCCCCAGGTCTTGCCCCTTCCTTCGTCCAAAAGCCAAACCTAGAGGAAAGCTCAGACTTCCTCCCCATTAATTGCTCTTTGGGCTCCCCCACCGATCTGTAGACCGGTGGGAGTGACACTGTTAAATAGTGGGGGTTCCATGGATGAACAGACTCCAAGTCTAGTGATCAGCTCTACTTAATTCAGTGATTTCACCAAGAACAAGACTGCAGGCCAGAGCCTCAGCTCAGTTATATTGCATGCAATTACCACGCCCCAAACACACCCCAATCCCAACGATAGGCTGTTTCAATAACATTACACCTTGATTGGTTACTGCCCGAATCCTGTTGGTCTATTGTTATTTGGCTCCAAGCTCGCCCTGTCTCTGGCAGCACAGTTCTGCAATGTTTCAGTCTCAATACCTAACAGACAAACAACTCCTTTTTGCACGGAGATTATAAGACAACTTATTATGTGCTCTCTTGAAGTCCCAGTGAAAATCTCTTTCCAGATACACAACATGATTTCAGCCTCTCCCAGCAGAAGCTGCTGTCCATTCCATTCACCCAGGTGATGAGATTTATGTGAAATATGGCAAGAAAGGGAAAGAGACGCTGACACCCCTCCCCCAAGTGAGAAGGCTCCTCCTTAGTTCTCGAGACTATGCCTGTTCCTGTGAAAGTGCATGGGAAAGATGCCTGGATCCGTTGTTCAAGAGCAAAGAAGGAAAGCACTGCAAGGAAGGAGTCCCCTTCCCCAGAAGCAGA